TCTGACGGTCGGCAAACGACTTGTCTCAGAGTCATCGGAACTAGGACCTGAGGCTTTCCCTCTGCCGATCACATTGATAGTGACATCAGGATACTCGGTCTCTGGAGACTTCTTCCTGTGCGAACGTCGTTGTTGGTTAGGCAAAGCAACGTTCATAAATTGGTTGAACACCAACAGTTTGGCCACATATGAGCAGCATTGACATCCTGAGAGGACCGTAGTAATCAGTCGTTCACATTGGAATAAACGAATGACTTGTTGCATCGGTCTTTCTCTCAATATGAACTCTCTCAAATCTGTTGTAAAGATTCGATGAGAATTACTCACTGATCGTGAGGTTTGAACTGGAACCCCCAGTCTATGATTGGACATGACTGGCTCTTGATGGACATGAATCTGGTTTAGATGCCTTGGATCCATGAACTTCTTATATCCACCTCTCAATCTAGTCGCGCTACGCAGAGTATTCGGGGGTCTCGCTGAGGTCGCGTTTGGCACTTGGGATTTGGCACTTGGGACGCTAAGGTCGCGTTTGGCACTTGAAACGCGAGGTCCGCATTTTGGTTTGGCAACGCGAGGGTCGCGCTCTTCAGTGTCGATGCGAAGGTCGCGTTTTGACTGAGAAACGCGAAGCTGAAGTTCGCTTTCAACGTAGACTTGGGGTCCGCGTTTTGGCTGTAAAACGCGCCATTGAGGGCTGCGTTCAGTCTGGTTCTCGCGAAGCTCATGTTTGGGCTCATAAATATGAGGCTTGCGTTCTAAAGTAGAAACGCGGAGCTCAGGGTCGCGTTTAAACTTACGAACGCGAAGTTCGCGTTGGTTGGAGGATCGACTTTCTCGGAGTTGTGCTCGTCGCTGAGACATTCTTCTTCGACGAGCAGCGTTCTTCTTGGCCTGTTTTAAGGCTTTTGCAAGGGCATCATCGGCTTTGATTGGATCTATCTCCGTCGTAGGCCTTTTACCACCCATGACACGTCGTGTTGACGCGGGTGTGGAGTTTTCAACTCGTTGAACGAGTTTGGCAAAGGCAGAGCCCAGTCCTTCAGAGGAGGGGCTGTTTGATGAATTTTGACCAAATGAGAGGACTTTCTTCGGCACTCCAGCAACAGTTGGATATTTAGTCTCCTTGGAGACTTTGTGGATCTTGCGCATAACCTTGGGGCTAAGGGATCCGGAGGAGATAGTTTAGTCTCCTTGGAGACTTTGTGGATCTTGCGCATAACCTTGGGGCTAAGGGATCCGGAGGAGATAGCTTCCTCAAACTTGGCTTGATCAAACTCTACCACGAGAGTTTCGACGATTGTTCCAGTGAGATGAACATCGGATTGCGCCACCACTTCTTCATCAGAGAAGCTTCTCTCCAGCGGAGTCGCCATCTTCTGTTTGTGGGAAAATTTGCAGTAAAAAGACAATGAAAGAAAATTAACTTGTATTCTCTCAAAATCGATTATAATTTGGATTTCCTGATTATAAAAGAGAGGAGAATGAATTTGATTCTCCCCTTTGTTTAAAACTGGGTTCTTCACGGTGGCGATGGAGTGCCTCCCTCGAATGCTCGCGTCGAGTTTGCTCTCTGTTGACGATCCGACGTTTTGCTTCACTAGAACGATATCTTCTCCTCACGATTCGACGCTGTGGAGAACTTGTGTGGCAAGTTTTAGAACTCTGGACGAGTTGATAACTCTGAACGAGTTTTAAACTCTATGAAAGAGTTAATTTGAGCCGAAAGTTGGTTATTAAGCCAAGGAATAAAAGCTCTCTGTTGTCGATCTCCAGATCCGAGAATGCTCCAAAGATCCTCTCTTTGCTGCCAAGCTCCAGGGTCAATCCGAGCCAAGAAGATCCAACCCTTCGCTGCCAAGTCCCAGATCTGAAAATGCCAGCCGAAAAAGCCTTGAACTCCGGACGAAAGAAGCCAACCCCGAACTCAGTTGAGTTTACTCGCTTTTATAGGGGATTAATGGGGTGTAACCGCCCCTTAAATCACTCCTAAGTGGGGTGTAACCGTCCACAAATCATGGGAACCGGTTTTGGAACCGTTCAGCTCATGTTTGAACGAGTCAAACGCCTACGTTGGCGTTCAGGACCCTAACTCCGTATTTTAGACTGGAGACGCGGAGTTGGGTACCCACTGGTTATTGAAAAACGCGGGTCGGACCCCAGCGTTTTAATGTTGTAACGCGGGTCCGACTCCAGCGTTTTGATGTTGTAACGCGAGTCCGACTCCAGCGTTTTGATGTTGTAACGTGGGTTCGACCCTCGCGTTTTGATGTTGTAATGCGGGTCCGACTCCAGCGTTTTGTTGTTGTAACGTGGGTTCGACCCTCGCGTTTTACTGTTGACACACGGGGAGGACCTCCGCGTTTTGGTCTTAGAGCGCGGTGATGAGTTCCGCGTCTTGCTTTGGAGAGATTATCAACAAGTAATCTCTTTTGTCATAGCGTTGCAAAGATCATTGTCTTGTAATCTTCGTCTTGGCTCCTTGAGAATATGAGAGTCGTCAGATTGTAACTCCCGATGTTGATTGTGAATGCTGTTGAACTAGAGCTCTCATCGGTTGTCGTGAAGGTCGTCAGATTATAACCTTCAGCGATCTACGTGAAAGTCTTCAAATTGTAACCTTCTGGAAGTCGTCAGATTGTAACTTCTATCATCGGTGTTTGATGGGGGATAAGCTATCTATTGTGATTTTTAGACAGCCTACAGTCCTCCGCTACAACATTGCAATTTTCTATTAGGTAGATGAATAACTTGCTCAACGCAATCAGGTTCCTCTTTGGGTGCCTGGGCAGTTAACTGTTTTTAGTGGATTTGGCTGCATATGGAAAATTTCACTTCTCAGTTTTCAATGACCTATATCGAGCTGAAAAACTACAATTAATGAGATATGTTGTTGTTTTCGGGTTTACATCTTGTGGAGAAAGTTCAAGACGTCATGTATCCATAAATAAGATTCTCTTTTAGAAAAACTGCAAGCCAAATAAGTAGAGTCAGAGAGAAAATATGTATTTACTTGTCTAGGATATTTCCTCTATTTCATTACGGAGAGTTACAAAGTATATTTGGGGTTTAGGATTTGGTTAGGTTCTCATGGATACATGTATGTCTAGCATATGTTACAAAATTCAGAATATGTTAAATGGAAGGGTTTCCCCCCTAAAACCACCTTATATTTAGAGTCAGTTTATGAAAATCACATTATATTTTCAATTTATATCTAAACAACCTACAAAATTAGTTTTTCTTCCAATCAACCACCTACACTACTTTGCTGTTAAAATTTGCCTAAAATCCCAATAATACCCTCACTTAATCTCATGTGTGAAGCACATGAGCTCTCTCGTTAATGCTCAACAAGCTTTCCACATGAATTAAGTGAGGGTTATTGGAATTTCATGAAAATTTTAGCACCAAAGTAGGGCTAGGTGTTTGATTGGTTGATTGGAAGAAAAACTAACTTTGCAAGTGATTTAGATATAAGTTAAAAATATAAGGTGGTTTATATAAACTGACCCTAAATGTAAGATGGTTTCTAGGAAAGAACCCTAAAAGGAAGTATTCAACGTGTCCATCAAGTCTCATCTCAAGTATCACATTCTCTGTTCAGGTTCATCTCCTTTGAATTACCATGCTACATATGATATAACCTATGTTACCTGAGTACTTCAAATTGGAACTGTACCTGTGCCTGACAAGTACCCATACCCGTACCCGTACCCATACCAAAACCTCTAGGACACTTATTGAATATATGCATACGTTTATTCATGTGTATACTCAATTATATAATACATGTTTTAATTTAAAACAATCCTTATACACTTCTTAGACGTATATTCTACACTTCACATCTATTTCTTACTTATTGGTCTTATGTAAATGAAAGTACAATATTGATCTTATAACTTATTAATTTTAATACATATAAATATACATACATATATATAGCCGTGTCTCCATACCTTACCTCTCACAAATTTGCCATGTCCGGTACAAATACCAGAACCCGTACCCCTACCCCTACCCATGCAACTCAAGCTATAACTAACAATGATTAATTTACCAAATTAATTATTTTTCAATTAAACTTTCCCGATACGTATTCCATTTCACACACAAAGAAAGACAAGGAAAACTATAAAGAGCACACAAGCAACGCTATGCCTCGATGAATGTTTTTACAAGTCTTGTTAATTGTTTTCTCATAGATGCCAAAAAAAACTTTATTATGGTTTGGATACTAATGCGTCATTTGCTGTAACCTCAAACCTCGGTTTTTGACTCGCTCTAACCTGCTTTGGCACTTTATATTCTATGAATTTACCTAAACCACACACACGAGCACAATTCAAACCAAATACGATAAATCAAACCAAACACAAAGATATACGTGGTTCGACAATTTACCTACATCCACGGGGAGAGGATAGGGAGATTTCACTAAATCAAGGAGAGTACAAAGGGTTACAATCTCACAAAATCACTCACACTAACCCTAAACCAAATCTCTCAACTTGCTCACAAGTTCTCCCTCTCAATATGCTCAGTACAATCTAAAAACTCTGTTAAGAAACCCTAGAAAATCGTGTTTTAATTTATATCAAAACACAAACTCAATGCGAACAGGAAACCTCAATCAGGCCTAAACCCGCTACGTGGTCGACCGCACATGACGCTGCGGTCGACCGGACAGAAGACAGAAACCCACGAAAAACCGATTACAGGGTCCTCGGTCGATCGTCGCACCACTCACGGTCGACCGCCAAAAGTCCAGAAACAATCTCTTTCTTGTGCACGTTCGCGATCGACCGCCGCGCCAGTCGCGGTCAACCGTGAAGCATCCAAACGTGTTTTCTGCCCATTTTTCCTGTATTCGCTTCAAAACTGTTATGTATGCCACCAATTCTTCTACTATGAGTTACCTTCTTAGCTCTTATAGCTTCAAAACCTGGTATTTTAGCCACTGATTCTTGCTCATATGTATTCCTACAACTTTGCAGATAGCACCATATGATCAATTACAGATGATAGAGAGGCTTGTTGATGTTCCTCAACCTACAACCGCAGATGTCACTGCTTCGTAAATCAGCATATCAAATGATAGTGGAGGTGTTCACGCATGCATAAGAAAATTGACAAACTAGCTTTTGAACAGTTTCGGATGACCATAAAACATGTGGAAGGAGAAGATTTATTATTTACCATTACTGTCAGTTCGGTGCGAAATTTGTATTGATATAGAACTGATGAAAAGTGGTATTGTATCAGAATAAGGATCGCCCCTTAATGTATCACAGATGAATAATTCTGGTGTAAATTTTTTTATATTTTTGCTTGAATATCATTTTTATCAGTTTCTTCTTTGTTCTGGACTTTGTTGTGTCGATGTGAATTAGGGCTAAAATTTTGTCATCCACTATTCCAGACATTTGTGCCTGCAGATTTGAGAGTGCGTTTGGTTAGAAGTAGTTGGTAATGCCTGTTCGACTGGTGTTACTAGATTTACAAAGAGTTATCGGAAAGCAAAATACTTAAAGAATAGAATAAATTATTGCTGCATGCATATTGAGAAATGTTCTAGCTACAGGAAATATGATGTAGAAAATACACTTGCAACTGCAACTACCGCAATGTGTGAATTCTCTGATCATGGCTAGCTCGAACATTATACTCGATCTAAACTCCCATATGGACATATTGCAAACCGAGCCAAAGTGAGGCAGCTACCCAGTTTTTCTTCAGTTTGCACTCAAGATCCTCTCACTACTGAGAGCTACATCTCAACAAGTATTGGCAATGCAAGGCACAAGTCAAAAGGGTGGACCAAATACAGCCACTCGCTTTCCTCTCGCAAGATTGTCTTCCCTTGTGCAGGCGGCAGCCGATGGAACTTGTGGAAATTATCTCTCGCATGACGCTGCCAATACTTTTAGATATTTGCATGCATATTTTTAGATATTTGTGCTGAAATTTGATGCTAAATTCCTACGGAAGGTAGATATAGTCATTAGAGCATGCAATTTGTCTGCTGCCTCACCTTCTTGATTGATTGTGACGATAGGATGCTTGAAGATATTTATGTGCAGGGTAAATTTTAGTAGTAATTAAATTAATTTGTTTCGCCTTCTCCTAGCCATGTTGACTAATGCAGTCATGATTGAAGCTATATAGAAAACTGCAGGTTATTTTAAGATAAATTTATATGGTAAGGAAATACAGGTGCAAGAGTACAAACTGGAAACCAAGGTCAAGTTCAATTATTAATGCAATGTTTAAGTTTGTACTGTTTCCATGAAGAGAAAGAAAAGGTACAGTGAGAATTATAAAATCTGAAAAGTAAGCAGAAACAAAAAAGAAAAAAATAATAATACAGACTTCTGGAAAAAATAATAGACCAACTGATTATTCAACATATCAATCTAACTCCTAGTCAGTCTCCCAACTAGATATTTGTCAAATATTTTACCAACTAGGACTCAAAAACTGGAAAGTTCCCAAAGTAGAAAAATCACTTCTACATCTGGACACATTTTCAACACGACCAAAGCCCTTCACGAAAGCCAAAGCTGCATGCATCATTACCCACTTCGGTTGTTACTTGGTCTGAGTGCGTTGGCCAATTTGGCAAAATGACCAAGGTTTTGTTCACATTGCGTGTTGTACATAGTGGCAATAAGATTAGGAGAACCTATATTAATTTGCTCATTGTAAACATAAAAGTAGAAATTTTAGTTGCAACAGAAATGAGAAGTATCCTTAATTAGTACCTGTTTTTTTTGTGATAAGGTGCTATGTTTGTCATCAACCCCTCCAATGATACAACGACACGATCGAGCTTATACCACTTCAAACCCACGTGCGACACCACCCTCATCCACTGCTCGCAAGATTATATGCCCAAGGATTTTGGGTTGTCCTATCTTGCTTACAAGCGGCCTTGATCGCGTCGTACTCTCCAGGTCCCATTTCCCCAAATATCTTTATCATGCCATTACCCCTTTTGGACTTGTCTTGGTGAGGGTTGGGAAAATTCAATGCCAAAAGGTTGCGCATTTAATTGACCTTTTTTTGGCTGAGGTGAAATCAGCATCTCCAAGGGGCGGGAAAAATCCGGCCCCTTAGCTAAATTAAGGGAGATATAAGGGAGATGTGGGACACGGAAAAAACCCCCTTCAGCCCATGTTCCTTAACTTCCTCATCAAATTAAGGGGAAGGTTAAAGTCCCTTAACCTTTCCCTTATAATTTTATATTAATATATATGTTTTTAGAATTAATTTATAGTTCATTAAATTCAGTTAATGTATAGTTAATTTAAAATAATATAATTAAGTTAATGTATAGTTAATTCAATTTGATTAATTTTTTATTCTAAATTAATTATTTGTTAAATTTTAATATGAATAATTTATTTAATGATTATATAAGGTAATTTCTTAATTTAAATTAATTAATTAATTATTTTTAGTTATTAATATTAATTTAAATTAATTAATTAATTATTTTTAGTTATTAATATTTAATTATTTATTCATTTATAAATAAACCACATATTTAATTAAATCAGTTATTAATATTTAATTATTTATTCATTTATAAATAAACCACATATTTAATTAAATCCTAATCTATAAATTTAAATTACTAAATATAATTAATTAAGGGGTATGAGACTTTTAAGGAGGAACCATTGGAGAAGAATCAACTCCTCCCTTAAAGTTCCCCCTAGATTAAGGGACATCCAAGGGATCTCTTGGAGATGCTCTTATATCTCTAGGAGCTGCGTGCTATTGGTGTTTTTCAAAGGAGCAATTAAGTTGCATTAAAGAGTTAGGTGAGTTTTTTCCAGAAAAAATTTTCATTTCATTTCTTGATTTATGAAATTAATGATTCATTTTATTAATTATTTTTCGCGTAGTTAGAATACATCAGTTGTCCAGCAAATTCATTAACTAGAAAAAATATATAAAGAATAATGCATAAAGAGAAAGAGAAATATAAGGGAGAAGCACGCGTAACATGAAACAAACTAATATATATTACTGTAATTAAACTATCATGGCATTCTAGTCTGCCGTCTACATTGACGTTGTTTTGTTAGAAGAAAGATGATCATGCAATCAGATGGAAAAAATAGTGAATGTCTACATCCCTAATTAAGTATATTATAAAGTCTCATTCTATCCATTCTAATTGTAGGATTAGTATATCTAATTTGATACAATCTCAAGGGATGTAACAACTCAAGCAAAGAGTCTACCGCCATTGATGATAGAAGAGGTGTGAAATGATAGTCGGCAAGAATTTGACTCCAAATACTCAGATATAAGAACACTAGAAGAAGGTATGATCAGTAAACTCTAGATTATTATTGCAAAAAAGACACTTACAATTATACAACCAAGTTCCTTAGATATTGTGAAGAAATGACGAGAGAGTGCAAGAAAACAGCAGAAAGAATCAGCCAGGCAGACTGGCGGTCGACCGCGAACGTGCACGAAGGCCAGTGGGATTCGGAGCTGAAGACGGTTGACCGTGACGGTCGACCGCAGGGACCCCGTAGGCGATTATCTCTCCGGAAATAAGTTCGGTCGACTGCCATGGTCGACCGCGAGTTTGACTGTAGGATTTTAGTTCTCTGTAGGGGGTGTTCAGTCGACCGCGAGACCTGCGCGGTCGACCGCAGACTGATTTTGGGCTAGGCCTTGGTTTTTGACGCGGTTCATTTCTGAGTTGATATATAACCCTAAACCTGATTAATTAGGGTTAAGTAAGGACGATTTTGAGTAGTTTTTTGGAGAGGATTGTTGCATCCAATTGTGGGAGATCTATGAGAGATCTAGAGTATTGCTTTAGGGTTTGATCGGTGAGATTTGTAACTCTATTTGTATTCTCTTGATTTCTAATAGTAAGAACTCCCCACTCCTTGCCCGTGGACGTAGGTAACTTGCCGAAGCACGTTAAACTCGTTGTCTTGCTGTGGTATTGTGTTTGGCTTATTAGTTGTGATTTATCTCTTGGATTGTTCATGTCGTTCCGAGAAGCTTCCGCCGCGCACAACAATTGGTATCAGAGCTTCAGGCTCGTTCGAAGTATTCGGTGAAGATTCCTATCTGAAAAGTTAGATCGATAACATGGGAGATGCAAGCACATCAGGTTCGTCTCTTACGAAGGCGATACAGAGTCTGAGCATCAATAACACGAAGATTGATGTTCCGAAGTTCGACGGCAAGATCAATTTCGGATTGTGGAGGTGTCAGGTGATGGACACATTGGATGCACAGAATTTGGAGGAGACTCTTGAGTTAAAAGAGAAACCCGCTGATATGGAGGATAAGGTTTGGAGGAAGATAAACAATAGAGCTTGTGGTGTTATTAGTTCATGCTTGACGCCGGATCTTATTTATAATGTAATGAACGAGACGTCGGTAAATAAGATGTAGGAAACACTCAATGAGAAGTATCTTACGAAGAGCATTGAGAATCGGCTTTACTTAAAGAAGAGGTTTTACCAGTTCAAGATGAAGAGGGGAGTTTCCATCAGGGAGCATGTCAATAATTTTACTAAGCTACTTTCAGATATGACCAATGTGAACATCATAGTTGAGGATGAAGACAACGCGATATTACTTTTGTGTTCGTTGCCCGAGGATGATTATTGTATGTTTGTTCTAACTATGATCAATGGAAGAACTACAGTTAGCTATAAGGAGGTGACCTCAGCCTTGATAAATTATGAGTTGAGGAAGAGTGATGGTGAACCTTCCGAGAAGGCATCGGGAGATGCATTAACTGTTCGAGACTGTGATCCAAACCGCCACCAGTTCAACCGCTCAAAGTCAAAGAATAGGAGTGCCTATAAGAGTGTTGGTAGAAATCAATGTCGGTATTGTAAAGAAGAAGGACATTGGAAGATTGACTGCCCAAAGTAGAAAGAAAAAGCCAGGAAGAACAAAGGGAAAGCTGCATAGGCTTCAGAAGTGAATGTTGCAAAAGCTATTGATGAGCATTCAGATTCAGATTCTTCAGGCTACTCATGTCCTGCACTACCGTCGGTTTGCTATGCTGATTCCACGGAGTGGATGATGAATTTGGGAGCTACATATCACATCTGCCCTAGGAGAGATTTGTTCTCTAGCTTTGAGGAGCTAAAAAGAGGGGATGTCGTGCTTATGGGTAATGACCACGTATGTTCTATTGGTGGTATTGGTTTAGTCCGGATTAGGATGCATGACAGAGTGATTAGGGAGTTGGAGGAAGTGAGGTTCGTGCCGCAGTTGATGAAGAACATCATTTCTCTTGGGACTTTGGAGGTAGCTGGATATAGAGTGATCTTAGAGGAGGCTACAATGAAGGTCACAAATGGTTCT